TGTACAGTATTTGAAAAATAATGTGTTTTTTGAACATTAAAGCATGTCAACATATTCTGTTACACCAAATACACAAAATAATGATCTTTAAAAAAGCATCATATGACCCCTTTAAAACTATGTCAGAGTCAGAGACTATTCAGGATTGCATTTATGGTCATAGCAGGATGACACTGGATGAAATTAATATTGGAACTGTGGCATTGATCTTTTTTCAAATAAATTTACTTTAAGACAGGTTGACAATATTATTCAGAGTTGTTTAATGGCATTTGCAATGACATCTTTTTACCTGGAAAGCCACTAGGGTGCACAGAGAGGATATTAAATGTCATTTTTAATCAGTAATACTACAATTTTGTTCAATGTTATTCAACACAACTCCATTAAGCACTCAAAAAAGTCATCAAGATGTTTATTAGTTTCTAAAAACGATGCAATTTCTGTTCACGGTGTTATTTCAAAGGACAGCAGCTCTCTGAAATCATTCTCTTCCGAACATAAGGCCATAAACTGTACAGAAGTAGCTTCTGTTGAAAAGCTAATGAAAGTCAGGTGGCCATGGCAATTGACCAGTGGTCCGGAGGGGAGGTGGGGGAGGGGGGCTGCGCTTGCTCCCGTCACTGAGAGCAGTTTCTTCATTTCTCGGTGACAAAATGTGTTAATACTCTGGCCTCTGCCTGTGCTGGTCATTCCTTGGTTTCTATTAAGTATGTAATTGGAACAACTAATTCCAAAACCAATTTGATTTGCAATTACGTCCATCCCCATTCCAGGGCACTATTCGTTTAAAGCCTGTCTTACTCAGACAGCGATAGTGGACTGATATGAGGACACAGGTGTGTGCGCACACACACAGATATCAATCTTCTGCTCTGCCTTGAATTAAATGTTCCTCAAGCCACATCTCTTAATGTGTTTTTTCCAATACATAAATGGTTTTCACTCACTCCATGTCAGAGGTACTTGTTAAATCCAGAAAAAAATTAGTTTAACCAACCACGACCTGTTAAAGGAACAGTTCACCCACATTAGAAAATACTGCCATCATTTAGTCACCCTCTTGTCAGTCCAACTTGTATGACTTTCTTGCTTCTAGGGAACACAAAAAAATAGAAAATCTTAAGTTAAGTTGAGCTCTTTAAAATGTACTAACAATGAATGAGGCTGAAGCATTAAACATTCAAAATGGATGCAATAGTAGGCTATATGCTATATTCCAGGAAGATGAACAGACTCTATAATAATTTAAAGAGATAGTTCACCCAAAAATGAAAATTCTGTCATTAATTACTCACCCTCATGTCCTTCCAAACATGTAAGACCTTCATTTATTTCTGGAACACAAATTAAGATATTTTTGTTGAAATCAATGACAGCAATGCAACTGACATGTTCATGTTTTCGGCCCAAAAAGGTAGTAAGGACATTGTTAAAACAGTCCATGTGACATCAGGTGTTCAACCATAATGTTATAAAGCTACAAGAGTACGTTTTGTGTGAAAAGAAAACATAAGACATTATTCAACAATTTCTTCTCTTCTGTGTCAGTTTTCGCCATGCGTTCAGGAGAGAACCACGACGCATGCGTGTGTTGCTGCTGACGCAAGAACTGCTCAAGCATATCTGGTCATCTTCTCGTCATAGGAGTTATGTTGCCCACTACAGTTCAGTACAGGTGTCAGAACTGCTGTCTCCTTAGCAGATCTTTGTTTGTGTGTGCAACAGAGCAATTCTGAAATTCGTTTGATCATTTGCAGATTTTATAAGCTCTTCATGTGTTATAAGCTCGTAAAAATACCAGCATATGCATACATATACAATGAGCGCATTTAGCCAAGCACGCAACATTGTTTTGAATGTTCAGTAAGTTTGCAAAATATACGTCATGAAAGCTGTCCAATCGGACTGTGACTGTATCCTATTCTATGCCTAATATATATATTATAAATTATATA